AGTGCTATCCCCAAGATTGCCCCTACCTGTGGTGGGAGGGCTGTCCTGGTCCCTGTCCAAGAAGACAGAGACAAAGAACTTGTTAAAAATTTCGGCTTTCTCATCTGGTGTAGCCACAAGATTACCATTTGAGTCTAGCAGGGGCCCTACATTACCCTACATTACCTGGTGCCCTCTTCTTACTCCCAATGTATTTGAAGGAGGACTTTTTGTTGTCCTTAATCCTGGTCTCTAGCCTGAGCTCCACCCCCACCATGGCCTTCCTAATGGCCCTCCTACACTCATGGGCCAAAGAGGAGTATTCCTCCTTGGTGACAGCCTCTCCCTTTCACCGGGTATACGCCTCCCTTTTGGCCCTCAGGCATTCTCGAATGCCTTTGCTAAGCCATGGGGGTTTCAGAGCACTCTTACCCCGCTTCTTTCTCTTGGGGACTGTCACACTCTGAGCCTGGAGGATCATCCCCTTAAGGTACGACCATCCCTCATGGACTCCCATATCCTCTACCTTTTGGGCCCTCAGTGCCTCCCCCACTAATCTCCTAAATTCATTGAAGTTGGCCATTCTGAAGTCAGGGGCTTTAGTCTTGGTGTAAGCCCTCAACACCCTGCGCTGGATGGTGAATTCCAGCAGGCAATGATCACTGTCACCCAGGTGGTCAAGGACCTGCAGCCCCCTCACCAGATTGTCCCCAGTGGCCAAGACCTGATCGAAGACAACCTTGTGATAGCAGCACTGGAGAGAGGCACTGCATTCATCCTTCATTTCCCCTCACCCTTCCTGTGTCTGGGGAGCACAAAGCCCCCATACCTCCCTCGGGGGTGCACACAACAGTGGGACTCGCACCCCCATGTCTCCGGCCCCCCAGGTGAGCCGCTTACATCCCTGTCCCATGCTCCGCCCCACCCTGGCTGTGCAGGACCTGCCCCTGCCCCAGCCCCACTCCCTCCCTCACCGCAGCGGCATCAATCTGCCCTCCAATTCCCCTTTCCTCCCCTCTGCCCTGCACACAGATCCAGGGGGCACACACACCCATGCTTCCCCCAGGGCTGTGCGCAGTGGTGGGATCTGACCCCCTTCTCACTGCGACCCCTGGACGAGCCACCTGTGGCTCTGTCCCATGCCCCACCCCACCCTGGCTGGGCAGTGCCTGCCCCTGCCCCAGCCTCCCTCCCTCCCTCCCCATGATGGCCTTGATCTGTGCCCCCACACCCCTTCCCTCCCCCCGCCCGTTCCTCCCCAACAGATTTACCAACTGGACACTGCTCTCCAAGCTGCTGGGCTTGCATATTGGCAATCGGATCAGTATCGGCCGATATGGCTCATTAATAATCGGCCATCGGTATCAGCCCAAAAAAATCTTTATCGGTGCACCCCTACCTGCCATGCTTCCGCTCAACTACAAACCAATAGTCCACAATATGGACTTTGTTTGGCTTGAGGCTCAGCCTGACCTGAGACCTGGAATAAATTATTGTGTGTGACATGAATGAAAAGGCAAAAAACAATTTCAGGGAGTGGGGTGCCCAAGAAAATGGTGGGTAGCTCCCATTCCTTGTTCTCTTACCTCTGACATCTTCAGGAGGCCTTTTGCTAGAGCCATCCGGAACCCCATCTTTCCGTGGAAGAACCCGTCCTCGTTGAGCAGAGAGGAGTTGTTCTTGAGCACTTCGCAGACTGGGGAGCCCTCAGAGAGGTTGGCATGCAGGCCAATTGGGATGTTATGCCTACAACGTGAAAAACATGCCAGGTGAGCTTTGCCTGCTCTGCAGTCAGTGAGGCACCATTCAAGGAGCTGAACTGATTGACGGAGAGGGGCTTCATTCTTTCCATCCATTGTCACTGCTCCCCTAGAAAGACACTAAGCAAAGTAGCTGACTTCCTAGGGGGAACAATCCTGTGCTGAGGTGCTTTGCATCTCACACACCTGGGATCCCATGAAACAGAAGAGCAGGAACAATAGCCATAAAGCACCTCAGTCAAAGTCAGCGCTACTGTAACTCTACCAGCTCTATTTGCACAGACAACAGCCAGGCTTCCAGAGTGGGTAGTTCCTATGTTAAGGATGGGTGTTTCTGAGGTATTTCAGTTTTGCCTGACAGCTTATGTTTAAGCTGCCCTTAGGCAGTATCCAATTATAGGCCGTGCATGCCACATGTGGCTGTTACAGTAACAGCACAAGCTACAGCTGCGTGGTAAATAATGGCAGATTTAAGGGTGATGCAGTTCAACAGGCTGGCCTGGGAACTGCAGCCGGGTGCTCAGCTCCCCTGTTGATGTACAGGAAGGACGGGTGACTGGTCAGCAAAAACAGAGCTGTACAAAATAGCACATCCCTAAATTACAGCAGCAGGTTACAGCAAGTGTTGGCAGAACATAAGTGCAAAGCCTGGAGTTAAATAACCCCAAAGGTCTGACTCAGCAACTGTGGATTAAAAAAAACCCAACAAGAGTCAGTGGATCAGACTCCTCTTAATGCTTTTTATGGAGATACTTCATATTAACCACTGCATTTCCTTGCTCAGTGTTTATGGCTTCCCTGACAATGCACAATGGGAATTGCAGGTGCTGACAACCTTGGTTATTTTCTTTATGCCTAAGGAGTTGGCTGAAGGGCTGCCTTGGTGTTTCTTCCAAACAGATTCCTGAATGGAGGTTCCCCTTGGCCTCTGGCAGACACAGGAAAGGTGAGGGGAAATGAAGGATGAATGCAGTGCCTCTCTCCACTGCTGCTGTCACAAGGCTGTCTTCGATCAGGGCACAAGCCCTCTCACGGTTGCACCTTCCTAACCTCAAGCTGCCGGATGGACAGCAGCTTAAAGCTAACTGTGTCAGCCACAACGTGGAAAAGTCACATTAAATGGGAATGGCATTCCTTTGTCAGAGGACATTAAGCAGCAAGGAGGCCTGCATAGCCAAGCATATTTAATGCCTACCAGTGCCCCAGCTCTGAGCTCCCTGGTGCTTCCTGCCAAGAGCTGGCCAGGATTTTTTCCATTGTTGTTGGAAAATGTTGAAATCAAAGATGTAGAAACTGAAACTGTTCACAGACACACAGCAGCTCTGATGAGAGTTGTTGAGAAATGGTTTTTGGGGTTTGGGGGTAATGCTTTTTCACTCTCTCTCCTTCCCTTTTGTTGAGGCTGTTTTACTTCGTGATCCAACGGGTACATAATTTATTCAGAGAGAGAGAGACGAAGTCAGGAGCCTTGTGGTGCCAGTTCTTGCCTGAAACATGGGAGACCCAGTTTCAAGTCTTTGAGACAGTAAATATAAATTATAGTGTGGAACAGTCCCAACAGGAGGGCTGCAGAGAAACCCATTGGGAAACCCAGTAGCCTGGTGGACAGAGCACTGGCCGGTGGAAGAATGGTAGACCCAGGACTAGACCCTGGGGTTTGCAAGTGACCTACCCCCCAGGGCTATTCTAGGGAGGCTGCCTTTCTCATTCCAATACAGAACAGAGAGCTCCAAAAAAATGTATGGGCCAGTTCTGAGCCTGTAAGTTATTTTGCTAGTGTGGACACAGCACTGGATGCCTTAGTGTAGACAGCTTTCTGGCTCCAGCAGCTGTTACAGCCACCTGCTCTGAACAGGCTTAACTGATCTGGCACTAAAAATATCTCCTGGAATAGGCAGCTTCTACAACAGGAAACTCAGCACAGCTAACCCCAGTGCAGCTGAATCAGCAGAGGAGCTGTACGCAGACATTCACTGGGGCAGGGAAGGCAACAGGGTTTGATTTCTGAACCTCCCAACCCCTGCACTCCTCCCACCTGGAATATTAATAGTGGCAATTTGGTAAGGTTTGCCAGATGGGCGTTTCCTAGTTGTGAGGAAAGAGATGTCAAAGCCTGCAGAACAGCCTGAGGAGGGGAGTGGGGAATGCTGGGGTCAGTCCATGCATCTTGGGCCTCCCTGGGCACGTCTACGCAATATGTTTACTGTGGAGCGGCCTAATTAGCTCCACAGTAAAGTCTCCACATTCATACATGTGGTCCTATTAGGTTGCAGTTAACTAATAAATGCTGTCATAGATTAGCACTTGTAAATACTATCCCGCGACAGTGTTATTTACTGCACAGCAATGCACATGTAGACACTGTCAGGGCTGGCTGGGGCAGGAGGGTGCTTCATTGCAGGGGCTGCCTGCTGGTTAGCCCTGCCCTGAAGCACCCTCCTGCCCCAGCCAGCCCCTCCACAGCATGGGTCGGAACAGCCCTAGGCTGGGGGCTGACCCCCTGGATTCCCTGTAAGCTGGGGCGGCTCCAACCCAGCTCAACATACTGTGGTCTTAGGCACTTGTATAAATGTGGCACCTGGGAGCAATGAACTCCAGCACAATATGTACTGGATTGCTTTGCATTAACTGCGCGTGTAGATGCGCCCACTGAGTAAAACCTCTCACCCCCCTCATGCTGCTCCTTGGCTTCTGGCAGTTTTGCCTTGCCTCCAAGGCAGAAATGATAGTGCCACTAATTCCCACTATGAAAGCTGTGCTCTTTTCATTCCTTCTGCACCATGCAAGGCAGGGACTGCTGGGGCTCCAGATCAGCAGCCACTTATAGCAGAAAGAAATATCATAGATCCAGTTACATTGATCACTCTGTGAAATGCAATTCATCACTCTGCAATTCAATTCACTCTGTGAAATGCAATTCATCACTTAGGGTCATAGGGAAGTAGGCCTGGAAGGGACCTCCCAAAGTCATCTAGTCCAGCCCCCTCATCATCCCTGAGTAACCCATCCCAGCCAAGCATCTGTCTAACCTGCTCTTGAAACATTTCCAGGCATGGAGATCCCACAGTTTGTCTAGGTAGCCTGTTCTAGCATTTATAGTTGGAAAGTTCCTCCTAATCTCCAAACTAAATTGCTCTGTTATAGCTCGAGGCCATTGCTCCTAGTCCTGTCCCCTATGACCACAGAGAATAGTCTATCTCTATCCCCTCTATAATTGTCCTTCAGGTCTTTGAAGACTGTTATTAAATCCCCCCTCAGGTTTCTCTTCTCCACACTACTGGTAAATAACCCTAGCTCTTCAGCCTTTCCTCATAAGTCATGCTTCCCAGGCTTCTACTAAGTTGATGCTGCTCTCTGCTGGAGCTTTCCCAATCTGTCCGCGTCTTTCTTAAACTGTGCGGCTCAAAACTGGACACAGTACACCTTGGCCCACTTTGTGATTATGAATTTCTAGACGTTTGCTAAATGTAGCAAAACAGCTCAGGAAAAAATTGGTTTAATTTTGTTTGTTTTTTTTAAACTCTAATCTCTGCCTTTTGGCTTTAGTTGTTTTACTGCAATCAAGCTGGGTTCAATTTACTTGCTCAATACATTTTATGGGGTTTTTCACCAAAGGAACCTGAATGATTTGAGCATTTCTCAATTCTAGACCCAGTGGGCCTTCTCTTATAATGCAAGGCTTGCCTAATTGTCAAGTGCTGATACCAAAGTGTTTTATTAAGCATTTTACCATACTCCTAATTTCTCAGGTAAACAGGATTGTCAGTGTTAGTGCAGGGACTCTCTAAGTCTCTGGAGTGCTTGAACGAAGCAAAATTTATTCTGCAAAGACTCAAAGGGAGCTGATTTTTACTGAGTCACTCGGCAGCTCTGACTATAAGCTGATGGCATTGCTTGCACTATGGTTGCTAATGTTTGACAGGAAATGATTCAGCTATCAGCAGGAATTGGTAGATGGAAATATTTGACTATGAACCCACTTTTCTGTATGTTATCTGGTGGGGAGCAGAGGAAGAACAGCTGAGGCCATGCATCCTGCTTCATTGGGACACTGAATGAGTGTCTAGGTGGTGCCACAAACAGTATTATGGAAGCTGTTTCAAGGAGAACACAAACCACTGAAATACATTCCCAGACAGGTGTTGGGCACCATGAAGTCTGAAAACTACATGGTTGTAACATTAGCCTGGGAGAAGGAATGGCTCAGAAGCCAACCGAACCAGCACAAGGGTTCAAGAATGTCAAGTATGAGAAAACATTAAGAGAGCTCGCCTTGTTTTCATTGTAAAAGGAGACTCTCGTAATTTTATAATGTGTTTCAAGGCTTTGGCTAACATCATTTGAATATCTGATATGTCTTCTATCAAGCAGATAAATTCTGCTCTTTCTGATCGAATAGATTTCTAACTCTTCAGCCTCCCAAGAGCAATGGATCAAGTGTAACAGTGACCAACTTTTACAGAATTCAAAACTGTGGAACAAAATGCAATACTTAGGAAAGTGCCTGTACAGAAGCATTTCATTCGAAGTACAAGGCTCACAGGGAACAGACATGCAGCAAAGGCAATGGAGCAGGAGGTAGGTGTTCCCCAGCTGACTATTACCTTCCTTAATCTGCGTCCATTTTCTCTGGGACATAACAAGCCACTTAGTGCTGGTTCCTGCATATGCTCAGCAACAAATGCTCTGCAGGATGTTGTGTTATGAAAAATGAGTTCCTGACACTCCCTGCATGATGGACACAGGTTCTCAGACACTAACTAAAATAGACAGAAAACGTAAGCAGCCACCATGGCATTTTGGCAGTGATCTGCACTGCCCCATGGGAGATGGGCTACTCTTCCTGATCCCTGTCACACATTAGTCAGCAAGTTCAAGAGCCACACGCTGATAAGAAGATGCTGTGTGAGGGTGGAGCCACCTTGCCTACTGTTGGGTGCAAAATGAGCACACACAGCCAAATCTGATCACTAGCTCAAATTGAAA